ATTGGAGCCCAGCCTGGGGCCGATAACAATGAAAGGTGGCTTAAAATATCTCAAATAAAATAATAACAGAATTGTGATACATGTTGTTAAAACTGGCTAATTGTTTTTGTAGCAATATAATGATCAGGAGTGGGTTTGATACCTTCCAACTGCAAGATGTTTTCTGTGTGTCTGTGTATACAGTTGACTGTATAACACAGAAGCATAATCTTTTTCTTTTCTTTTTTTTCATTTACTTCTGAAGTTATATGTGAATTTCTTGCTGTGCTCACTGTTATTCCACTTACTGAAAATTTATTAGGAGTATTTGTAATGCAAGCAGCCACTCATCCAATATTTCAAGCAGAAGCCACAGCTTGTTCTTGGGTAAATGTATTGAAATGACTCTTGAAATAAAATATCTAGCACTTAATTGCAGATGGAGAGTTTTAAATGCACCATTTATTACTGTTACTACCACATGTTGGAATAAATCCTAGCAAATCATTAAACCTGTAGGTAAACAAAGATATAGCACTTGAGATCTTGAATGCTTGAGTAAAACATTTTTAAACATTGCTGTCAAGATGATAACCTTAGAAGCACAGCATTGCTTTAATGCTTTAAAGTATTCCACTACTTTGTAATATTTTTCTTCTAGAAATGGGTACTTTGCACATAATATGTGATTAATGTCCCCTTAATTCTGTGGCATGCCACTTCTAAATATTTGCTGCAGCTTATCTCAATGTGATTTACTGTGTGCATAGTAAAGCTGTCTTTTGCTGTAAGAACTTCAGAAGAGCCCTGCTGGATCCGGCCAGTGGCCCCTCTAGCCCAGCATGCTGTTCTCATAGTGGCCAACCAGATGCCTATGAAAGGTGTGCAAGCAGAACCCGATTACAAGTGCATTCTCCCCACTTGGGATTCCCAGCAACTGATGTACAGAAGTGTGCTGTCTCTGACAGTGGAAACAGAACATAGCCATTGTGGTTTTACAGCCATTGTTAGCCTTATCCGCCATGAATTTGTCTAACCCTCTTTCAAAGCCACCCAAGTTGGCAGCCATCCCTACCCTCCTGCAGCAGCGAATTCCATAGTTCAACTTCACTGTGTGAAGCAGCACTTCATTTTGTTTGTTTTGAATCTTCCAACATTCAGTTCTAGTGTTATGAGATATGGAGAAGCACTTTTCTCAATCCACTTTATCCACTCCATGCATAGTCACACCTCAACACAGTTCCCTCTTACCTAACTTACCTTTTTTTTCGAAATGGAAAAGACCCAAATGTTATAAACATTCCCCATACAGTTGTTCAACCCCTTGATTATTTCAGTGCTAGAATCGGAATTATACTATCAATACTTGTTCTTGTTTTTTAGTATTCAACGTAGTTCACATACAATAATTACCAGGTGCAGGTAGGAGCTTATCTTAGAGCCTATTTGTATGGCAGTGATGGTCACGAAGGAACAATATACATCAACACCATTGTGTCATCTCAGTGCTGTTCAAAAGAGCTTCAGCTTCAGGGCTAGTGTAATCTCCCCCTACCCCCACATTCTTCGGGTACGTTGGGTGAACTGCAGGATCCTGCAAATCCACAACTTCTCCTGGCATACACTTCCTTTTTTGTCTTAGGAGAAGCACCAACTTTATACCTTTCTGCAGTTGCAGATAGGAGTTTGGCTCTCCATCTCTGAAAACAGATTTCACTCTCCATCCTCAGAGAGGGAGATCTGAAAAACCATATAGCATCTGGAACACCCTCCAGAGACCGTAGGATTGCGCCCTAAATAGATTATAAGCTATTGGTATTTCATAAGGTAAAGGTAAAGGTACCCCTGCCCGTACGGGCCAGTCTTGACAGACTCTAGGGTTGTGCGCCCATCTCACTCAAGAGGCCGGGGGCCAGCGCTGTCCGAAGACACTTCCGGGTCACGTGGCCAGCGTGACATCGCTGCTCTGGCGAGCCAGAGCCGCACACGGAAACGCCGTTTACCTTCCCGCTAGTAAGCGGTCCCTATTTATCTACTTGCACCCGGGGGTGCTTTCGAACTGCTAGGTTGGCAGGCGCTGGGACCCAGCAACGGGAGCGCACCCCGCCGCGGGGATCCGAACCGCCGACCTGACGATCGGCAAGTCCTAGGCGCTGAGGCTTTTACCCACAGCGCCACCCGCAGATCTATGCAAAATATATGCATCTAGTTCTCCTTTTAACTGCAGTTCTCATCATGAAATTCTCAGTGTTTCTCTAGTTTAAAAATAGTGATGCTTGTCTAGAAGTTTTTAAATTTAGATACTTTTATGTAAAATAAAAATACTAATAGGTATAGTTTTTAACAGTAGAGTTAGCTTGACAAAGAAATCAATACAAGCTCTCAAATCAATGGAGTGCATTCTTCAAAGTGTTGCCAATTAAACTTTAACAGACATGCCTATTTATTCTGCTACATAAAATATAACCAGAGGGTTTAAAGACAGAGTATCATTATCATATATTAGATATATCCTGGAGATCTTCCAATACCCACTAGAGATTTATCAAGATTTTCTAGAAACTAGGAATCATTATTGGTTACCTTGATTAGGAGCATATTTATTTTTAGGGCAATTCAAATTTAACTAGTTAATCTTAGTAAACCATGATTATTGAGCTGAGAACAAATTTCAGTTAGTAAAGTGAGATTAAACCACAGTTTCCTTGTTCAGATGCCATTAAGAAACTACTGTTTAATAAATCATATAAATCTTTAGTTTTGGCCCACAAATGAAGGAAGAGAAGAAGGAAGGAAGGAAGAAGGGAAGGGGGCACTTATCTCAATTCTGAAACTCTTGCAATATAACAGAGCATTTCCCAGCTAGTCTAGCAAAGTCTGTAATATTACAAAGTGCCTCATTGGAAATATTGGAAGAATTGAGCTTAGTTTGCTTAGCCATACATATTAACTTTTTAACAGAAAGTTTATCAATTCACCCTAGTTCATAGCTCCTGAAAAAAACTGTATAAACTAGGGGTCCCAATTAGGTAAGTATTGCAGACCCTCTGTTTTTCAAAAGAAAATCCATGGACCCCCTACTTTTGAAAAAACAAATATATCTCTATTATAGTTTTTGTTATGTGAATGGTGCCACAGACCCTGTGGATGGGTTCTGGGGACCGCAGACCACCAGTTGGGAACCACTGGTATAAACCATGTTTGCTCCAGTTATTGTAAGTGTCTGTACCTTGATCTGGAATAAAAAGCAGATGTCATACAAATCAGAACACTGGAAAAATTTGACAAACACAAATATTTTCCCACCTTCCCACTATTTTAAGTGCATTCAATTGATTCAGAAGGTAAATATGGCTTTTAAGTCCATAGTAAAGAGAGTTGTTGTTTATTATTTTCCTCAAATGCATCAGGATTAAAATATATATTTACAAATCCTAGTGGGGATAGAAATGTGAGGCAGGTGTGGATGTGCAGGTCCCACTAGTCCCAGAATAACCTGAGAGTTCCTTTCAAACCATGAAATGATAAGTTGAAAGTGGGTGCAGTTGCCTGCCACTTATTTCTTACCAAAACAACTCTTTCCCATTTGGGGATGGCAGGTTTTTATGAAGGGGGTTGTGGCAAACTTAGGATCAGAATGAAGGCTGAAGAAGGAATCTGGATAGTTTGGAAGTCCAGAATGCTGGCAAACCGTACCCACTGCAGAACCGAAGAGCTGAATTAGTGCTATGAAAAACAAAAAACTGATTTTCTCAATGAGACCCAAAACAAGGAAACTAGCAAAAAAAATTGCGGGAAGCACCACAACATCGTCGGAAAGCACTGTGGGGATAAAACAGAAAAGAGGTGGAAGAAAGATGGATTAAGCCACTGTCTGATTGTATCCCTTTGTTACTTTTTGGTTGGGGGTAAAAGCACCCTGTGGACCCCAGGCTGCTTTTGACACACAGCTTTCCCACACCTCTGGCATTACATTGCAAACAGGCAAACTTGTATACGTGGTTTGGATCACAGCCACGCTTTCCAAGGGGGAAAAACTGCACCAGGGTTTTTGTTGTGGCCATTGCTCATCCTTTACGGAATGTAAAAGAATAAACACAGGAAATGAAGAGTAAAAACCAAATCCTTTACACGGTCTGTTGTAAGTGAGTCCTGCAGAGTTCAATGCATGATAGAGTGCAGCTTGTTTAACATAAAGGAATCCATGCATCTGGGTTTTCCTCCACACATTTCTTTTGCTAAGTATTCAGATTTTTAATGTAAAAATCCAGAGCTCTAAGGAAAAGGCTGGTGTAGGTAAATCATTCTTGATGTTTCTAGATGGATGAAGTGAAAATGTCATCCAATATATATCTCTGATAAGCACAGAGAACCCTAAGTACAAAAGAGCTTTCCTGAGTACAAAATAGCTTTTACAGGTACACAGATGCTTTCTAGGTATTCATGTTTCCCTTCAGGAAAGTGCCCAGCAAGCCCTGTGCTCCAGAAAGTCAGTCCAAGGAATGTTCAGTGTGCCTAAGTCTTGTTAAAGGCAGTAGGAGTTAATCACTGAAGTGTGCTTGAAACAAATAGAGGTCACAGAATAATATTAAGATTAGCAGATAACAGATTATGGAGAGGGAATTAGTAAATGAGCTACAGGAGTAAGGCATATTTATCCTTTAGAATCTATTTTAAAAGTATGCAGCATTAGAAGTTTTAGTGCATCTTTCAGGTACATTCTTTCTGAGGGCAAAGCCTGAAATTCAGGACTGACAGTTTTGAGTGCTATGAACCAAGTGCTGAATTTTTAAAAATCTATTATAAAAATGAAACTCCACCTAAATTTTGAGCTAATCAAAACTAGGGCTTCAGTTAATGTATGTTTCAGTGAACAATGTTTTCATGTGTCTTTAATGAAGGAATTTATATATTTATCTGTTACCTTTCCATTAAGTGCTACTACTATGCTGGGTAGCGTTAATAATTAATATACTTGGAACCACCCTGTTAATGTTGATATTTTTCTTTTATTACCACAGGCTAGAAGAAGAACAGAATCTTCTGACAGAATTGCAATATAATTTAAATAAGTTTTATTTATGGTTAGACGAAGCAAGTAGTGTTGTTGCCATTCCTGTTGAACCAGGAAATGAATACCAGCTAAAGGACACTCTTCAGAAAGTAAAGGTATGGAAATAGCCTGTCCATTTTTATATCATTAGTTGCCTTTGTCTCCTTCCACTCTCCCTACACCCCAAATTAAAAAGCAGTAAACATTTTGGTTTTTCAAGTGTTTCAAATACATTTTCTATGCAAATCAAGTTAGAATCTATAGTTGAGGCCTCAGCATTAATGGTCGTAAGGAGATGTCACAAAAACCACACAGCTAGATACATTTTACTATTCATTGTCATGCTTTAAAAAAAATATCCATGTTGAATGAGTATTGAAAATTTCAAGTGAACTAAAGCCCACCAACTGGTGTCCACTGACAGATTAGCAAAAAATGACTAGGAAATAATGAGATGTGCTTCATTTTGAGACAGCCCCCACCCCAAATGCAAATTCAAAGAGGCAAGTATAAAAAGGAATATATTCAAACCATGCCTTCCTAATATAAGGTTATTTATCATATGTATAAAAGTAAATGGAAATAATTTTGCACAAACATTTAGGAAGGCTTATATTATAGGTCATTTTATGAATGTTTTTCACTCTTTGTACTATAGATTGCTTTGTTCATGGTGCTTTCCATCAGAGTAAAGTGGTACACCATTCAATATTGTAAGTCTAATGGCTCAGCTCCAATTTAGACATAACAAAAAACCAAATAAAATGCTTTCACCTCTAAATGTCCAATGCAATCTGATCTAATTTCAATATGCTTGCCCAAGTGTGTCAGACCATAGGCATACAACTTTAGTGCATTCGTATTGCCTGCTGCACTGTCAACATTGTACTTTTTGCTGTGATGGTGTATTTAGTTTTTTGAAGGGTAGGGTAGGTAAAGGTACCCCTGCCCGTACGGGCCAGTCTTGCCAGACTCTAGGGTTGTGCGCTCATCTCACTCTATAGGCCGGGAGCCAGCGCTGTCCGCAGACACTTCCGGGTCACGTGGCCAGCGTGACAAGCTGCATCTGGTGAGCCAGCGCAGCACACGGAACGCCGTTTACCTTCCCGCTGGTAAGCGGTCCCTATTTATAAGGGTAGGGTACAAATACATAAAACAACCCTGCCTTCTTGTTAGGATCTTAGTCAGATGTGTTGTCTCCCATCGCATCATCATCAGAGTTGTCATCAGCAAGATAGATGGTCCATTGAGACTGAGCAATTTTGGTAGGAGCGCCAAGGTTCTTAAACTCACTCTCACTGAAGGTTTATATGCATACATACTTTTATTTGTATGCTGCCTTTCTACCATTCAAACCATGCTCACATCAGCTTACAACATGAAAAAATACACAATTGCAACATAAAAATAACCATAAACAATAAATAAAACATCAAAAAAAAATAACCAAACTGGACAGTTTACACATAAATCACAGGTCTAAAATAAAGATACAAAAAACCAACAGCACCCACCCAATACCCCAGCCCAAGGGTAACCTTAGCTTTTGTAGCTGGAGTCAGTCTGGGCCCCACCTTCTTAGGCCACATGGGAAAAGTCCTGCAAGGCAGGGAACAGGTCTTCCAAGACTCACAGTCAAGATAGTCAGTCCCTGTGCTTCAGACCTTTTACTGAGCCATTAAGATAGTTGTATTTCATTGGGCCCTAGTGAGACCTGTGATTGGCCTCTCTAGTATTTTTAACATACATGGTGGAGTGGTTCTGTTGCTATGTATGTTCTCAGCAGAAAAGTGGCCTATAAAAACTGACATAAATACAACTTTTGGCACTGCATTCCTTATGCACTTTTAGAAAATAATAATAATAATAATAATACTTTTATTTATTCCACGCCCATCTGGCTGGGTTTCCCCAGCCACTCTGTGTGGCTTCCAACACATACAAAAACATGCTAAAATGGCAAACATTAATAATAATGATCTACAAAAAGGTCACAATAACTTTAAAATAAACAACTTATATCAAATAAAGCAATATTCAATAATCCATTAGAATATAATAGTAAAACAATTATTTCTCAATTAGCTGCATGTGTGCCTCCATTTTCAGCTAAAAAAATCACATGGACAGTATCAAAAAAATAGCTCCATAGTTGTATACAAAATAGCTCCATAGTTGTATACAACAATGAAGTGATGAGGGGTTTTTTTGGGGGGGGACACGACACCAATTTAGTATTATTGTTTAGTGTTTTTAATTCCAGTTTTTTATTTTATAATCTGTCTGACTTCAGAATTTATACCCAAGTGCAAGAATTAACTTCCAGAAACACTGATGCTCTAGAATTCAATATTCTACTTTAATTCTTTGTTAAAGCACAATCTTATAATATCTACTTAGAAGTTAGTGGTTATAGTATTGCAACTTTAGTGTATAATCCTATGCCCACTTACCTGGGAGTAACCATCATTACACACAGTTGGCATTACCTCTGATTTAGCATGTATAAAAGTGTGCTGTTAGTTATCCTAGGAAAAGTTTTTCATTGGGGAACTAATTCATTAGCTTGATCATAGCTTTAAAATATCTGATTCATGCCAATCCTTAATGCTGCAAAACACTCTAGAAATTATTGAGCTCTGATTAAAGTGGTTTGAAAAAGGGCAGAAACACTTGTCTGTATGGGGGAACTTAAAAAAGGAAGTATTTCACTGCCATGTATAGGACCTGTCAAACTATAACCAAGGAAGTGGGTTAAAAAAAAATATCTCTGTGAAATGTCCTTGTTCTGACTCCTTCTTAAACTGAGGATTGTCAAGATATGCTGAGATGAGGCAGCAAAGAGGAAATGATCATGGCAGAACTGTGCTATGCTTATTGCTCTCTGCCTCATCTTAGGAAAATTTGATAAAGTGCTCTGAGCATTGAAATTGTCAATCTAAATATGTCACTGCCAGTGTCAGTGTCCACAAAACTGCAATGCTCTTGCTGAAACTTGTACATTTGAATTTGGTTCCTCCCACCCCTTCTTAAAGTGTAACAGCCCAATATAGTTATGTCACATCTGAATGCACATCCCACTGAAAATAATACAGCGTGGTTGGACAACATGCACATACATGCGCATGAAAGTTATGCCCACTGTTTCTGATCCAGCAAGTGATGTGTGTGCAGAAGCTTTCTTCTTCAAATGAATCTCTTGCTCTTGATTTGATTTTCTGTGATTAGGATAGAACAAGAGATATGTGTATACATTCCATGCCTTCAAAATAAAATGTTTCCACTGCATGTTTATATGAAGGGTGTATATGAATTATGATGATTTGTGAAACTTTGTGTAAAATTAGCCTATATACTAATATTGACAGAAGTCCCATGTTTGCCCTTATATAGCTAAAACTATAGCACCTACACACAACAGAGTAGTAGTAGTAGCAGACTTGGAATAACCCTGCAGCAGACAGAAGTACAATAAATCTGCATGGAGAAAAATCTAATAATTGGAGGAAGAAATCCCCAGACAGATCCATAATAAATTAATGTCATAGAATGTTTAAAGAAAATAAGTGTATACAGGTATACAAGTATACAGATGAAAGAGATGTACAGATGAAAGAGTTACACATATCACTGGGAGGTTACAGATTTCTATTGAATCTCATCACAGCTATGGTGAAGCTGTATAACAAAGTGAAATGCTAATTTTTGTTGTTTAGCTTTATATGCACGGGCTAACATGTGACTCAGGCTTATGTGCCTTCAATTCTTCCAGTATGACTGTCAGTTTAAGAGATAAGAAGCTTTTGCTTCTGCTTTTAAGCAATCCAGTGTTCCTTCTGATGTCCAGAATTGGGTAAACTCTGGTTAGCATAAATTATGGTGGTTTAAACAAGTCAGAATCAAACCAGAATTTATCATCTTGGTTTATTTTCAAACCACAGTTTAAACGGAGTTTCCTGAGTTTGGCAGTAACAGGAAACTGGTTGGTTTAAAAGTGGAAACAGGATATTTTCCTCACAGTCACACTAGAGAATAGAGTGCATGTGAGCCTCAAGTTTGTGTGCATATCACTAAGCCATAGTTTATGGTTATATATACAGACTGGGCCAATATGAAAGGAAATCATTACAGTTAACCATAATTTTTTTTGGGGGGGGGCTGTGAAACACCAAGTGACTAAATTCTGAGCAATATTATGAATTAGTACTTGACCTTTTTATTCTCCTGAGCTTTAAATATTTTATTTCGTTCCTCTATGGCTTTGCCATGTTGGTGAGCAGCTGTGTCGCGGAGGTGGGAATCATTCTAATGCAAAAGAAGGACTGCTATCCATCGCCTTTTCCTGAGGCACAGCAACCTAGAACAAAAGCTGTGGATATGTTGTGCTGAATTGAGCTCTTGAGTCTACTTACTTCAGCTGATAAACTAATCAATAGAGGTGAAGATAAGGGAGTTGAAAATTCTACTACAGTTCATTTTAAATGTTGCATTTGTCTGTTCCAGTTAAGAGTGGAAGAACTGCCTCCACACAAGGGAATACTGAAACGATTAACTGAAGCTGGAGGAAAAGCACTTGGTAGTGCATCACTGAGCCCTGAAGTAAAACATAAGCTTGACACTAGACTCAAGGAGGCTAACCATCGCTGGATAAAGGTTAGGCATATTAACAGTTGTGTTGCAGCATGTATCTGTAATCTGTTGCAGGTGTTTCCAGTGTTTTTCAGCAGTTATTTCCACCACACACACACACACTTTCCTCAGCATGCAATTCAGATTTATGTGTACCGTTTCATTTACTAAAGAAATAAGCATGCCTGTAATGACAACTTGAGGAGAGTCAAACTTAACCACTCCTTCACTGGGGAGTCATGTCACTGCTGTATGTGGACTGTTGCTTCACTGGTATAGACTTCTTTCTTCAAATTGTATTTCTGCAGCACCTGTTATTTGCGTCACACTTTAGGTTCAGTTCATACCATGCTGCAGTGGCGGGGGGGGGGGCAGGACACAGAAGGAAGGTCTAAATCTACTGGTGGTTCTCTGAGAGATTTTGCAAGATTGGCAAGAATGTCTGGCTGCCAGATTTTTAACAATAGCATCAACAAAAGGACTCTCGTTTCCTAAAATATACTGCTGAAATGAAACTAACCAATAATGGATTTTTATGTGGGAGGCCTATGAGTTCCATTCAGTTCTTGAGGCACAGAATTTGTTCATTCTGACTTTTACACCAGTTGGTAGATTGTAGGGTACTAGTAAGAAACAAAGAAGAATCCACAAGCTTGAAGCCTCCCTATCCTCACTCTACTGAGGTTGATTTAAAAACTCTTTTGTGCATTCTAGGCTGATAGTAAAGGGCAAGGAGGAACTAGAGTAATGTAGCACACATCTGTACAGTGCCTTGAAGATGGTAAATACACGTTGACCTCTCCAAGCCCAAACAATGGCCTACCTCTGTCATTATGGCTATCTATACACATTCTTTGGTGGCTCTTCACTCTCTCCCTCCACCCCTTTTAATGACCTTCATAATTGTAAATCTGGTAGGCCAGGAGGGCCATTTGTTCCAGACTCATATCGTGTGAGGAAGTAAATTTAGTAAAGCTTGTGCCTACCCACTATAGCTCCACCATCCCCTCCCTGGTTGGATGTTTTTGGGGTATAATAGATGCAGCACAGATGGCCAGCTGGTTCTTCCCACAATTCTGCAGTAGTATCTCATTATTAGTATGTCAGAGTTACAGTCATGGTGTACAGACACAGTGTAATATGTCGTGTAGTGTTGTTCATCTGAGATTGTATTTACCTAATTTTAAAACCTGCTAAGGAACAGGTGATTGTCATTATGTCTTCATATGTAAAACTACATAATTCAAAGAGAGTGCACTCCCCCCCCCATGACTGTACATGAAATAGTTTTCTTGATACCTTTTCTAATATTGCTATATTGACATGTTGTCATCTATAGTTTTAGCAGTGAAGTGCCTGAGTTTAGGGGCTCTGTAGTTCCTTAGACTCCACCAGCATCTCTTTATAAGGTTTGGTAGAATAGCTTTGTCTGATTGGATAGAATATTGCAGAAGCAATGATACCTATGAATTTTCATATCGGAGCTTTCATATCTAAATCCTAATTAAACTTTATCCACAGCAATAAAATACAGTTTCCTTAAGCATATAACATTATTCTAGAAAAGAAATTGAAGTGCAACATCAATAATGGATTTATTTGCTTTTATTTGTGTACTTAAAATCTGCTTTTATATGCCCGAGTCATATAATGTTGATTCTGAGATTGTGCACTTTGTTTTTCTTCCTGTGGGCCAACAATTATTTTGAAATAATGATTGTCCTTTAGTAACACTTAAGCAGAAAACCTAATGCTCTACTATCACAGATTCCTGATTAAAAATAATAGTTTATTAACCTAAACGATAATGGATAAGAAGCAACTGAGACAGCTTTGTTCTCTTTGCCAGATTGTATTAAAAATGTCTTATACTAATCAGTTAGGGAAAATAGCATAAAATTGCATTTCTCAGAGATTAAAATATAAGCAATGCAAACCAGTAAAATGAGAGTTAGAACTCATATTATTCCATTTCAAAAAGCACAGCCTTAGGACACAGTTTTATCCATTAAATATTACACTGTACAATCAGATGGAGGCTATTACATGGTTAAGATTCTCTCAGATGAAATCAGTAATTCTGAGAAGAAAACGGCAAAATACACATTATCAACAGAGCAGATGTTCATGACGGATGAACACTATAGAAGAACTCAACTTTATTTATGGAGATACCCTTTCTTTCGACCTATAATAAAGAAATATGGCTGCACATTTTGATAACAACCATGAAGTCCTGGATTATCAAAGAGAAACTAATATGGATATTGAAGAATCATCCTGTGGTCCAGGAACCAAGGGACTGCTATTTGTGGCAAGGAGGTGAACAGGAGAGTCAAATTAAGAAGAAAGACTTCAATCTCTCACTATCTACAGCTACACTCCACCCTGCCAGCCTTGCACCTGCTGAGTCTCTCACCATCAGGCAAGTCGGCCCTGGCAGCTGAGAGGAGCAATAGTCTTGTCACTTCTGCACCTGTAGCCAATCTACATCTACAATCTACATCTTCTAGCTGCATCACAAAGCAGAAACAGAGCTTTTCTTGGTAGTTTGTGGCCTTTTACACTCTGGCCTGAAAGAGGTGACAGAACTGGAAGTAGCTCGCTGTGACTTGTTTGCATCTGCCAGGACCTTGAATCCCCTGTTGCAGCAGATCAGCCTTGGAAGAGGTAATCACCTTTGACATGATGGAAGAGAACATGAAAGAGGTGGTCTAGAAATTTATTAAGTAGTAATAATATAATTTACTAGTGTTGCACTCATACAAGAATTGTCCTGTATAAGCCCAGAAAATGTGAATAATAGTTTAAATGCACATTTTCAGAGCTGAAAATTGTATTTCTACAAAATGTTTGAAGGGTATGTACTTGGATTTTGTCAAAATCCATAAAATTGTGAAGTAGAATAGAGGTGAAGGGTCACATTCAAAAGCATGATGTTAAAACCTGGGTGTTGTCATTTATTGTATATTGCCCTGATGTCAGGGAAGAGTTAGAGTTAGAAGATTCCAGTTTCCCAGAGGGAGAAAGCATTCCCCAAGGGGGGGAGGAGAGCAGTGAATTGAAGAGAAGAGAGCAACAGGGAGGGACCGGCTGTTCCCAGGAAAGGCAAGGGTTAAGTTCTAGCTCAGATTCGGAGGAGGGGAGATACAAGCCAGCTCTAGCCAGGAGGTTAGAAAAAAGAGCGGGAAAGCGAAAGGAAGGGCGCCTTCGCCATTTTGAGAGTGGCTGGTCATGGAGAAGCAGAGCTCAGAAGGTATCTGAAAGAAGTGACTCTGAGGAATAATATTTAAGAACCATTTATAAGATTGTTTTGTTAATACGCAATAAAAAGTTATAAAAGAACAAGAAGCGTTTGTGTGGTGATCTGAAGAGGACAACGACCAGTCCTGACACCTGATACAAAAGTGTTGTCTGAAAACAATGCTGTCTTTATGAATAGTTTTAATTATAGAGGTATTGTTATGCTGTATTGCAGACTATTTTTTTTAAGGTTAAGTGTCTTTAGTTGATTTTTTTCGTCACTTAGACAACCTAATTGTTATATTTTTCCTGCTGTAGCAGGGTAAACCTGGTGCTTCAAAACACAGGAAAGAGACTGGCCTTTGTGATGCATGCAGTTCTTGTCATATACCACCTGCCAGGACACGAAACAGTTCTGTAATGTCTTTCTTGCTTTTTATTGTGCAATAAATGCATTTGTAGATTGGGCCTGGAGCTAGTGAACCGTAGGTTTGCCGGAAGGAGTTTATTACTCTTTAAACTTATGTTTGATCCAATATCGGGCAGGAGGGATGAGGCAGATGAGGTGAATGAAGGTAAGCTGGTTGCCACTAGCAGTGTTTTCCTTATTTATCCACCTTAGTTCTAGAGAAGTGGGTTGTCAAGATTATTCTTGTTTTGCTCTTTTTTCCATCTGCTTCTTTATTTCCTAATAATTACTAGGCATTGAAGAGACCATTTTGCTATTCACTGTGAGAGCAAATCGATTTGTTGTACCTACATTCTCAGCAGAAGCATTGTAGTGAAGTAGCATGACTATAATGCATGAACCTTTCCTATCGCTCTGGGGAAAGCATTGGACCATTCTTTTAGCCAGCCACAAGGAAATAAACAAAACATGTCAGTGCACAAGCCTATGGTTTGTATAATTTGCACTGGCTGTAATTTAACTGATCATTCACACTGAATCTTGGCAAGATATACCCACAATGTGATTATTTCTATGTAATGTTTGCCAGATGTCTAAAGCAGTATTTACCTACCTGAAGGTTCAACTAGGTGTGGTAGTAGAGATCTGTGCTTATGGCTGGATGGCTGGTTCTGTTGTTTGTTTTTACTTGGAAGCAGCCATGTAGTGCTGTTAATTTGTCTGAGGAATGGGTGCTTAATACTTTTCTCCTGTACTGTTTCCTCAGTCAAAGTCCCCAGGTTATAGCATACACTTCTTTTTTTTTTGTTACAAATAACTATGCTTAATATTTTTAACCTAATTTGATTGATTGAATTTGTATACCACCCTTCATTTGAAGCTCACGGGGGGGGGGGTTCACAGCATAAAAATACACAATGAGAACACAAATACATAATAAAAACAAGAACAAAAACAAATCTCTTTAAGTCATGCTGTTTAACCTAAACAGTATATATTCTGAAGGTGATATAGAAGTTTGTAATATCATGTACACACTGAGGGCCTAGAAACAAATAAAATAATTGAGATGTACCTGCTTTTCCTGACTTGAGTACTCTTTTGAAAAACAATATTATCTTTAAAAATTACAACCACCCAATGAACTTTTCAACATAAACCCTTTCCTTTCGTGTGTGTGTGTGTGTGTATGAACACATTTGTAGCAAAATCTCTATTTCTCAAGTAGCCTTTAGGCTGAGTGTGTCTTTAATAGGATTTGACTGTGTTCTTCAGCCTGCTATTAACTATTTTACTCACAATTATATAATCTGCCTATTTACATTCATTCAGTGCCATTGCCTGAAAGGGATCTCCTTTCTTTTATAGTTTCAACTTTTGCACTTAGTCCTATCAGATGGAATGCATGCAGTCAGGCAATTTTAATAATCACCCATGCTTCAATTATTGAAATGTTATGCCTTCTAAAATTTGCAGCTAAATTATATTTAAAAGACCTCCCAAGAGACAGGTGGCTGGGACAGCTGGTTAGGGCTCTGAGGTCTGAATCCACTGTGCCTCAATTGCCTTAGTTTGTCTAATGAAAGCTCTGGTGCTGCTTGGCATTGCAATCTAAAAGAGGATAAAGAGGGGGCTTCCACTACAGTTTTCTAGGTTTTATTTTGCACCCTTAAAATTTTGATGCCTTTGTGTTTATCTTGATATTTTCATGATTACCTATAAACAACTTCCATTCATAGCTTCATTCAGTTCAAATATTGTGAATTGCGAGTGTGTATTTTATTGTTCATGGAAACTGTCCAGAGAACATGGTTGGATGGTGGTATACAAGTGTAATAATAATAAAAGTTCCAGAAGATTACCAATGATTATAGCAGCAATATGACACACTAGTGCTCCCCCCACAAAAAGGAAAAAAATGTTTTTGTTTAAATACAAGAGCAACACATAACTACAGTAACTTGTTCAGTGGTACATTCTTACTAAGTTTCATATGCAGAACACAGTAACACTAGTGCTTTAACAGATTGGAGACTAACTGGGTTCTTGCGGCATAAACTTCCACATGCAAAGCTCTTCTTCAGCAGATTAAACTTTTTCAAATACCATAGAAGTGGGAAGCCGTCTCCTAGCATAAGCAGCAGTAAAAGCAGACCTCAGCCTGATGTTGTGTGTGGAGGGGAAAGCCTAAATGGATGTCGGAATGAGTGGATATATGTGTGGGACTGGATTAATAGATGGAAAAGAAGGTAGGGCTATGCTTGTTCAGTTGTGGGGGGAGAGAAGAGAGTGACACTTTCAAACTAACCCATTTTTCAGAGCTGGGGTGAAGGGAAGTAGTCCTGCCCACCTTTGACTTCAAACAACCCACGACTTGTTTTGGGTGCACCCACTGCTAGTTCTGCAAGCAACTACCTCTGAGGAAATGCAGCCTTTGATGTATGGAGTACTGATGTCATGTTCACCTAGTGACTCCTAACCCTAGTTAGTGGGGTTGCAGTAGTGGTTAATCTGGAGGTTATAAAGGGATTAATGTCATTTGCCAAATCCAAGTTTGAAAGAAAGACTTGCAGCTTTCTCATCTGATGAAATTACGTAGATTTATCTGTGGGCAAAAAGGCATTTAATGGCTTTTGGCTCTGTGAAAGGGATGGATGATAGAGAATAATACTTGTAGCTGTAAAAGGAAACCAAAATCTCATGTCATAACCCATTATTCATATTTAATTCCCTGTTCAGTTATATAATTTTGGGTGACATTTTGTTAAGTAAAGAGGAAATATTAGTACCCACAATAAAATTATGACTATTTAGCTGTGCAGGATTAAGGGAATGAAGATTGCTGTAGCATAATTGCAAGGCTGCAGTAATAATGAATATTCTTGTGAAGAACTGGGAGACTTTATATAAAGTTAAGACCTTTAGCTACTACCAAATACAGAGTTTAAATCTTTTGAATTATTCATTTGCTAAGATTTCAATTAACTTACCTTAATTAATTCCTAAACTAACATGTTTAAAGTTCAGATTTTTCAAATGTTTTAGATTAATTAATTAATCTTACCTAAAGTAGTGCTTTGATGTTAAGATTGATATCAATTATTTTGTAAGAACTATATGTAGAAGACTGGTCAAAGAGCATGTGTGGTAATGATCGTTCTTTCCCACCAGCTACAGTTGAAGTCTGTATTGCTAAATATCTGAAAATTAAATAGACTTGCAGGATCTATAGCTGGTGGAAAACTTGAGAGGTTTAAATCGCTGAGCATTGATGTTAATGTTACTGTGTTTTTAAACTGGTGTCTGGTCCATAGTTTTCATTGCTACCTTATTAATGCAACTTACAATTATGTCTAGTTCATCTTCAACCAAACCTGTTTTCCCTAAACCTTTTTTTTAAGTGGTTTGAGTTCACTTTGAGAGGTGCACTCCACTGACTCTCAAGTCAGACAGATGCCAACAACAATTTTTCCCTTTTAGATACGAATGCAATAGAAAATAAGCAGATAAAAGTATGATTTCAGAACAACCATTTATCAAAGGTTGACATTTGGAAACAGCTCAAACTTGAACTTGGCTCATATAAACCCAAATTGGGGAGGAGGGTAAAAACAGTATACACATTAAAATACAGTGGTACCTCAGGTTACATAAGCTTCAGGTTACAGACTCGCTAACCCAGAAATAGTGCTTCAGTTTAAGAACTTTGCTTCAGGATGAGAACAGAAATCGTACTCTGGCGGCGCGCCAGCAGCAGGAGGCCCCATTAGCTAAAGTGGTGCTTCAGGTTAAGAACAGTTTCAGGTTAAGAACGGACCTCTGGAACGAATTAAGTACTTAACCCAAGGTACCACTGTATAAAAATAAGACCTCTGACAGTGACTCTAGCTTTAAAAGTGCATTAATAATCATTTAGATTGGCTCTGTCTGTACCTACTACAAGATTCCCGAAGTTGTAACTATGCAACAGGTTCCATGTGACTATAATAAATTGTATTTAGGGATTTATTACGTGCATATACTTCAGAATACTCACTGGTTGGCCACTGTGATGACAGGATGCTGGACTAAGTGGGCCATTGGTCTGATCCAAGAGGCTCTTCTTTATGTTCTTAGAAAGGAATCCTCAACAAAGCCTGAAGAACTGTTAGTGGTGCAATCAGATTTGTGCCTATGAACACAGATGCCAGTGGATGCATTTACCATCAGAAGAACATAGGGGAGAGAATTTTTGCTAACTCCCACTTCTACCTACAGCCCACCACCACCAAATCAGCTCCAGAAATTTAGAGGATTGTTCAGAACAATGTAGAAAGTGCCATGGTGGAGGGGAGCTTCCAATGGATCAAAAGTTCTTTCATGAGTGCAAGATGACCCATTAGTTTACACCCCAAATTCCTAAATCTCTAATCAACTTCAGATGGATGTCTTCATATTCAAATTATCTATTTAGTTCGCAGCATTGTTAATATACAGCCCAGAGTGTTCATCAGTGTGGAATACCAATGGAGTCAGTCCTCACAATGCAAATATCAGCTTTGAGGATGGGGTGAGTTTCAGCAGGATCACATTTGGAGGTGAAGGTGGGAGGAAAATAAAATTTTCTCCCCCTACCCACTGGCGTTCCTGTGATACTCTGGATCATCTGCAGCTGCTACTTACTGTCAATTTTATATTTTTTAAAATCATGCATGTCAGTTTCATTTGCACAGTTATCGTGTCCAGCTTGCCACTAATAGGCACAGAGAGTAAATAAACCTAACTACTTCCTTCTTACCTTCATATGAGGTGATATAAATGAGATGTTCATCCTTCCAGCTTCTGCATAAAGTTGACATGTAGAACACAGCTAATCGTTTTCTTAAAATTTAATTTTGAAGAATTTTAACTTATCAGTATGATTCGATCTTCACCTGGTATACTGTGACTGCTGGGATTGATGTTGCTCTTTCTGAAGAGTACAGACACGAGTACTGCATGTGCATGAGATGCATAACTTATTATGCTGTACTTGTATTTCCATATTGTGTATATTGTATACAAATTTTCAAAATAAAGGTATTTTTAAATTAAAAAGTTGTTATTTTTTATAGATACACAAAAGTCCACTTCTCAGTTACTTGTGGTTCCTTCAGAACTATACAATGCCTTAAATGCATGTTGTAGTATTTTTCTGTTTTATAGGATGATAAAATGTCTAAAGGTAGCTGCTGAGCTTGGACAAGGGCCTGTTTGTGTGCTGTTCTAGAAGCCTGTTCTGCAGCAATGGGTGCTGTTCAGCTAAGTTTTACTCAGAGTAATTCCACTGAAATAAATGGACCTAACTTAGTCATGTTCATTAATTTCAGTGGGTTACATTTGAGTCAAACTTAGCTGAGTTTGTGTGGTCTTGTCCAGCCCTCAGAACTGAATCATATAGTGGGACTATTACCTTTCCTTTAATAAGCCTCATATTTCCTATGCTGTTTCATAGATATAAGCATTACAGATTTACCCAGCAGTTGGACTGGGCCACTGTAGAAGCTGCCTCCCTGCAGTCTGACAATGCAAGTTAAAGCCAAAATCTCTGGCCCATACAGCAAACCAACTGAAAGTATTTGGAATAAAGCTGTGTCCTGTTTTTCAGCCACCACTGTGCCGCAACACAATTTCTCCCCCACTCCCATCACCGGAGCAATTACTTTTTAATAACATAGAGACACTCCTTTTTATTTTGAAATGCCATAGACTAGAGCACATCCTGAGAAAAGCAGTAATATATAATCCAACTTAAATCAGTGAGGTTTAAGAGCTTAACTGTGGTCTCATTGATTTCAATGGGACTTAGGTATCCCTAGTTTTCTCTTGATCATAGCCACTATTATTCAGTTATTAAACCTTTTGGGCTAATCAGACTCCCAGTTAATGTTTATAAAGAATGTAAGTTTTGTACAGAGCATAATTTATTGGCATGATGCTATGTGTGCAGCAGAATTGCAGTTTCGTCCAAGCAAATGATTTTCTTCTGTTTTTAAAAAGGTATCCAAAGATCTGCCTGAGAAACAGAAAGAAATTGAGCACCTGCTAAATAATTTGAACCAGCTTGAACAACAGTTAAATCAGCTGAAATTGTGGCTCTCTCCCATCAAAGAACAATTGGAGCTTTACAACCAAGTGGGCCAACCCGGGGCTTTTGACATCAAGGTAATTAAACATTCACCTATATACCTGAAGAAGTGTTCAGACGATCTTTTTACAGGTGGTATTTACTTTTTGGACAACCCTACACATGGGTGGGTTTGTAGTAGAAAAATGAAGAAGAAAAAGAGCAATTACCATTTGAAAGACTTTGTAATCATGTTGCTTTGGTTGCGTTAAAAAAAAAAAACATTTCAATTCCAAATCCAGAGAAATAGCAATACTTAGTGTATTCCACTTGTGTTAAACTGGACGTCCAGGTAAGTTTCAGGGAGGAGTCAACAGCTGTGACAAAATGCTGCCTTTTAAGGCCAGTGCAAACTACCTAAATATCTAAACAAGTTCAGAATATATTGACAAGGGCAAAATATTACAGGTTCTTATCACCAGGATTTCCTGGCTCCACGGAGGCTTAGTTACTAGCTTGGAAAATACCAGCCTGTCACTGTCCAGGTACTAGATTCCCTATGTGCTTACTGGGTGCATAGCTCCTTATATAAACGCGAAGCTAAGTTATTAGGCACTGTCTGTTGAAAGGGGTGTGGGCAATATTCTGAAATGCCCCATGGGAGAACTTGTGAAACTTAAATCTTGATTAAAAGAAATTTAATAAAAAAAGATTAAATCAAATTAAGTATTGATACAGGAAAAAGATGTTGTTGCTTTGATTCTGTTCTAGGAAGAACTTTATCTCATTGTGTGAGAACAGGGCAGGAAGCTAGCAGTGTCAAGGAGTCCCTGACTGAAAAGTGCATTATATATACAATTTCAAGGGCAGCATTTATTTTTACTAAGTCAAGGGTCACATAGCAATGTTAAACACATGGTAGTAAAAATAACTTTGGCGTTTAACAAAACAATCTGATTTGTTGTTTTCTTTTTAACCTTTTTTTTGGGGGGGGCTCAATTCTCTTTTACTTCTTGCACCTCATGGCATTTACTCATGTCTCTCTCAGCATCGCTGCAAGTCTCTCCGAACCTCTTTGCTGCCTTTGCTCTATCTACCCCATAGCTGTTTTCTTACTTTCTGCACTTGCAGCCTCATAACTCTCACCTCATTCACAGGCTTTGCTGCAGTCGTACCATATACCCCCCTCCGTGTTTCTCTCTGTGCCCCATCTCTGCTCCCCATCAGTTGCTCCCCTTTCCTCACCACACACCTTTCTCTCTGCAACATCTCTCAGATACCTTTCATAGAATTATAGAACTGTTGAGTTGGAAAAGACTTTCCCCACCGGGTTCTCTGTACCCCTAGCACACTTTCATCTGTTTGCACTTCATGTCTTCTCTTCCCTATTCCTGGCTTTGTTTTTGCACCTTTTCTCATTGTTTAATGTAATCACACACAAGGTTTTCACTCTCCCAGCAATTCACACCAATGAAAGAGTCTTGGGTGCAGATGGGCTGTGCACGAACAATAGGTATTTGTGCCATTCTCCTAAAAGGAACAAATAGGCAGAGGGTTGCAACTGGTTTACAAGCCTTCAGTTGTCTTGGCCTATTCCAAGGGTAGGGAATGAAGAGATCAGCAGAGACTCTGCAGGGTCCTGTATACTACCATTTCGTCTTGTTTGCTCCCATCATTTTTTATAAAAAGATTTTAAATTCTTGTGGTTTAAAATTTTGGAGGTTTGGTTTATGTTCTGAATTTTATTTATTTTATATTTTATTGTTGTTAGCCACTTTGATACCTCCTACATAGTAAAAAGCAGGATATATATTTTAAATAAATACATCACAATTTATCCTTAAGCTGGGTAGGAACTGCAGCAAGAAAAAAATTATGTATGCTTAAATATGCCAGATCCAGAATTGGATGGGATCCAAATGGGCAGAAATAAGCTCTGTATCACAGTTGGGGGATTTGTAGCCCTTTAGATTTCCATCGACCTCAGCCAGTGTGGCGAGTGGTCAGGGGTGCTGGAAGTTTTAGTCCAGCAATAACTGATTTTGATGCGAGAGCAATACACATGCTTAACGTCTGTTGATATTAATAGGACTTGAAACATTTTGTTTAGGCTGTGTGGTGCTCTTTCTGTTTAGCATATGCTGCTGAGGTAGCTCTTGTGTAAGAATCTGCCTGCTACAACAGTTACTTGAAAGGATAGGAGCATGCTGTAAATGCAGCTTCACTTAAAGATCTTTTTTGGAAAGTAATTATTCAAAGCCTTAGGGGAGTATGTGTGAAAACAAGCAAGCATTTTTTTAAAAAACCTGGCAATTTTAAAACAATTTTTAAACTTGGCAAATTCTTCTTTTATCTATAGAAAGTTTCTTCTTTTTCTTTGAGCTATAAATAAAAATGACTTTCACTGCCCTGCAGGGGCTCCCTAAGAAATTGAATAACAATAATTGTGTAGAGCTGCAAATGTTTACTGAAAACCATCTAAATCACCTTTATTCTTGAGTTCCTGTCATAACAGGTATGATTACAATCACTGAACACAGAATGTATTGTTTTGAACTCTGCAGGAAGAACATTGGATTTTGGAGGGTGGAAGGAGGAAATAATGAAATGATAAGCATGTGCACAATAAGCTGTACATAGAACAACATTCAGTGTTTAGAGAGATAGTCACAGAGGGAAATAATGTTTATGCTTTAATAGTGGGGGGAAATACAAGCTGTTCTGTTCAGGCCAGGCTCCAGTTGCAGGGGGTCCACAACAGTCAAGGGACTGGATACACAGCTAGCCGTTCAGGCAAGGTCAGGAAGCAGTCCTGTATCCTACCACAGAGGTAACTATTCAAGTAAAGTACAGGTCTTGTGGAAATACACTGTTCCAGCCTTCCCCCCCCCCCTGGAACTGCTAGAATTACACTCGGGGTCCAGCTGAATTCCATCAGCTGGCATCAAAGAGAGGTCTTCTCATGGGGAGGACTTTGCTCATGCAGAGACTGACTTCTCCATTTAAGATACTGTCGCTCATGCAGGCTCAGGGCTGTGCTCTGCTGCCCCGCTGTATGCTTCCTTCTACAAGAGTTCCAACTCTTCCGCATTCCCAGATCTAGTCAGGTTGTAGGCTTCACTAAGGAACAGGGTCATCTAGGTTGAAGAATTCTCCAGCTGAGCCATGACACAAGTAAAGGAAAAGAAAAGTCATGCATGAAAAGGAAAAGAAGACATTTCATCAGAAGTTCTCCACTGATGCAAGTGATTGGTGGATTTAAGAAGGCCCCAGTCTGCATTCCTGAAGCCGGTTAGGATTGGGTAGAAAGACTCCTGCTAACAGGAAAAATCCACTGTTGTGGAGGCCACCCCTCTGTCCACAAAAAGGGTCCTTTTGCTATGCCAGCCTCAATATGGTGGTGAACCTCCTCCAATGTCCCTACTTTCCACCCAAATTAGCAAGCTTTGGATGTGGTAGTGCCTCCCTGCTCCATTGCCCTTTCAGGTACTGTTAGGATTGCTCTGCCTGTATAGTTGGTGGTGTTATAATACTCATGGTAAAGATGGATAAATGTGACATTTACTTTACTTTTCCATTTTCTGAGGAAATGAGTTGTATTTTGCCACCTAGTGTTATTAACACCTAAACATTATGTCAGAGTAAAACTGTTTAGTTTGTGGATATTTAATTTGACTACTACTGCTGCTACTCTTGAACAGTTATATATCATTATATACTAGTGGGTTTCAACATATGCATGTCAGAAGTGGTATAGGCCTTTGTAAATTTATATACCACTCTTCATCAAGAAATCCCAGAGCGGTTCACAGAATAAAATACAAGCAAATAATTAAACCAAAACAACAAAACAATAACCCCACAGATGCATTTAAAAGTCTGTGGGATATCAATCAGCCAATTACTGTAGGTCTTTTCTCAAATCTTAGTTTCTACGGCAGGTTAACAGTACGCAAACATTAAATTAAATTATTGACTTCCTGTTTTTAAATGTCTTTCGCAGTAACCAAGACACTTTGATATGGTTCACACAAGACATAATTTGATTTTTTATTTCCAATCTTAATACTGTTACAACTAATCTGTTCTCTTTCCTCTAACATCAGAAACCCTTTGTGGTTTTTCTGGTAGTGGGCGTACAGAGACTAACTATATAGCCTATCTCTTCTTTCACCCAGCTGTTTCACTGCCTCCCTGAATCCAATAAAGAACTTTAATTGTCAATAAACAATCTTAAACTCATCCTTTAAGCAAAACGTTATATTCCCAATAAAAAGCTAGAAAGGGCTATGCCAGGATAATCAGTCCAGGCTATTAATGCTTCAGCAACTGATCGCAAATCTCATTGTATACTTACACACAAAGGAAAACTAAGTAGATCTAGATTGCAAAGATACACACACTTGCTAAGGATTAAATCTCATGGAATTCAGTGGTCCATATGTTTATTTAAAATCATTTGTACCCTACTCTTCCTAAGGATAAAACAAAGAAAGAACAAACAGACAAAACAATAAAATATAACAGGAAATGCAGAACAAAAGAATATAACACAGAACCCAGCATGTCTAGGGTGGCTGAAAAGCATAATTAAAAATAAATGTTTTAACTGGCTGCCTAAATGTAAGCAGTGTGAGAGACATACTAATCTTCTGTAGGAGGAAGTTCCAGAAGTGGTGGGCTTCATAAGGTGGCAACCTCTTGCGTGTTGTCTTCTTACAATAATAATAATAATAATAATAATAATAATAATAATAATAATAATAATAGTGGTTTCCCCAGCCACTCTGGGCGGCTTCCAACAAAGATGAAATGTCACATACTAAAATGTCACATATTAAAAACTTCCCTGAACAGGGCTGCCTTCAGATGTCTTCTGAATGTCAGGTAGATGTTTATCGCTTTGACATCTGATGGGAGGGCGTTCCACAGGGCGGGCGCCACTACCGAGAAGGCCCTCTGCCTGGTTCCCTGTAACTTGGCCTCTCGCAGTGAGGGAACCGCCAGAAGGCCCTCGGAGCTGGACCTCAGTGTCCGGGCAGAACGATGGGGGATTTACAAATATTTGAGACACTGTACCTCAAAACTCCCAATAACC